GGGGCCCCGGACAAACTCCTAGGAGCTGCCAGCCTGGTCCCGGGAAGAGGCGGAGGGCTGGGTGGCAGCAGGTGGCTGGCTCGTGCCATGCCAGGTGCAGGGTCTGCTGGCTGGGTGCTGGCAGGCTTGCACCTGGCTCGGGTGCCCTAGCCAGACCATGCCCCTTTAAGGGCTCCAGGGCCAGGAGGGGGGCATACGAGTTTTCCTGGTGGTGCCCAGAGTGGCCACCAGGGCAAGCTGGGAAGGGCTAGCCTCCCACTAGTTCGAATTAAGTGGCTACACAGACCTTAATTCGAACTACTTAATTCAAACTAGGCATTACTCCTCGTAGAATGAGGTTTACCTAGTTCGAATTAAGCGCTCCGCTAGTTCGAATTAAGTTTGAACTAGCAGTTTGCCTGTGTAGAGCCTATGAAAGTTAATTTGAACTAACGGCTGGTAGTTCGAATTAACTTTGTAGTGTAGACATACCCTAAGAAAGACTGAAATATTCAGATGTGACGGGTGGGCTGTGGACTGTATCCTTTGCTTAGACTCACTTCTGGCCATGCATATGTTATATGTCTGCCCCAAAAACACTAACTCTTTGGTTTGTGAGGGGGTTGTTGTTGTTGTTATTATTATTATTATTATTATCATTATTAATTAATACAAGAAACAGTGTTTAAACTCTCACTAGCATCAGGAATTACTTCCTAAACATTTCCATACAAGACAATTAGCCCGTCATAAATCGGGATTTTCAGGCTCTCCTCCACGTTGGTCTTCTCTCCTGAGCCTCCGGTCTCTCGCTCCATCTCTCTCTCTCCTCCTACTGCCTCCCCCTCTGTCTCTCAGTTCTCCTCCGCCTCCTGCCTCTCTCACTTTCTGCCTCTCTCTCCGTCTCTTTTTTTCTCTTCTCCCCCTCCTGCCTCTTACTCTCCCTTTCTCTTCTCCTCCTCCTCCTGCTTCTCTCTCACCTCCGTCTCTCCCCTTCCCCTTACCCTCCCACCATGGCGCTCAGCTGAGTGCTGTTTGCTCATCTGGGCTGCCGCGAGGGAGGGCTCCCAGGGAGCAGGGCTGTGTACGTCACCACCCAACCCCTCCTACCCCGCGGTGGCCCAGCTGAGTGCTGTGCTGCTCAGCTGGGCCACGGTGGGGGAGCAAGCGGGGGCAAGCAGCCGTTTGGGGTCTGCCCCCTGGCCATGTATGTCACCTCCTCACCCCCCTCCCTTGCGGTGGCCCAGCTGAGCAGGCAGCACTCAGCCGAGCGCCACGGTGGGAGGGGAAAGGAAAGGGGGGCGGGGAGAGATGGAGGGGAGAGAGAGGCAGGAGGAGGAGGAGAAGAGAAAGGGAGAGTGAGAGGAAGGAGGGGGAATGGAAGGGGGGGGAGGAAGGAGGGGGAGAAGAGAAAGAAAGAGACAGAGAGAGAGGCAGAAGGCGAGAGAGGCAGGAGGCGGAGGAGAACTGAGAGACAGAGGGGGAGGCAGTAGGAGAAAGAGAGAGAGACGGAGCGAGAGACCGGAGGCTCAGGAGAGAAGACCAACATGGAGGAGAGACATGAAAATCCCGTCTTATGACGGGCTAATTGGCTAGTCTATAATAAAGACGACTTTACTACTGCACTACAGCGCAGCCTGTTCTACACGGGAAGTGCCTGCTCAGCCGGGCCGCCACGTTACTTGGGATTCAAAGCCATCTCCTCCGTCCTGGCCCTGTCACAATGAATGACTAGCCAGCTATCGCAGGGCTCCTGAAAATGAAATCCAGGCCTAAGACACATCGTGCAGCCACGGCTGGAAGAACGGGAGGGCTCTCTTAGCATTCACAGAACAGTTCAGTTGACAGCTAATAGATATGCATGACAACAGCCAGCCTGCCAAGCAGGAATTCAGCTAAAGCTCTGATGAGCCCCAAACTATTATGAATCCAAAAGAGGATTGTGTGAGCTGATATCACTTTCATTAGACTCTGCTTTATAGTCAATGCCCATGTCTGGCTCTTGTGTGACTTTATTATTCTATGTGATTCTGTCTTCGTCTGGGCTTGTACTGATGCTAGCCAAAGACGTAAAAAACTTAATTGTGCTGTAAGTATGTGAACCTTTTCTTCTTTCTTCCTCGTGCAGGATGCTTTGCAACAGGGACAGGAGAGATCTGCCTGTCTCTCATTTCTCTCTCTTTGGACAGTCTGGATTGGCTGGCCCCATTATCTCTAGTTGAAGTCTCTAGAAATCAGATGCACTGCATCCATGGCTCAAGAGAAATGACCATTGTAGAGCATGGTTTGAAAATCCCCTTTTCACCACAGACAGAGTGATTAAGAACATAAGAACAGCCAGACTGGTGAGACCGAATGTCCATCTAGCCCAGTGTTCAGTCCTCCAACAGTGACCAATGCCAGGTGCCCCAGAAGGAGTGAATAGAACAGGGAATCCTCACGTGATCCCTCTCCTATCTTCCATTTCCAGACAAACAGAAGCTAGTGACACCATTCCTACCCATTCTGGCTAATAGCCATCAATGGACCTAACCTCCAGGAATTTACCTAGTTCTTTTTTGAACCCTGTTAAAGTCCTGGTCTTGACTACATCCTCTAGCAAGGAGTTCCACAGGTTGACTATGTGCTGCATAAAGAAATACTTCCTTGTGTTTGTTTTAAACCTGCTACCTATTAATTTATTTTGGTGACCCCCTAGTTCTTATGTTATGGGAACAAGTAAGTAATTTTTTCTTATTCACTTTCTCCATACCTGTCATGATTTTGTAGACCTATAGGCTCTTTTTTTCTAAGCTGAGAGGCCTGGTATTTTTAATCACTCTTCATACGGCACCCATTCCAATCCCCTTGTCATTTTTGTTGCTCTTTTCTGAACCTTTTCCAGTGCCAAGATCTCGTTTTTGAGATGAGGTGACCACATCTGTATGCAGTATTCACGATGTGGGTCAATCATGGATTTATACAGTGGTGATAAGATAGTCTCTGTCTTATTCTCCATCCCTTTTTAAATAATTCCTAACATCCTGTTTGCTTTTCCCACTGCTGCTCTTTGATTGATTGATTTTTAAAGAAGATCCACATTTAAAATGGCTAAGCTACCCTTTCATGCCAGGGATATTCCTGCCCCATTCCACCTTGAGATTCAGTCCAGTTGCACAATGTCTGATCTGGTTGGCCAGGTAGAAGCCAAGCGCAATATTCTCTACACTTCTCAGTCACCAATGACTTGATTGTGTTTTGATTCTTTTGTGCTTTTTTATGCGGGGAAAGGGGAGACTGCATAGCAGTGAAAGGTCAGCACACCCCATGAACTCAGCAGCCACTCGCTCTAGGAATGTTGCTGGGATTTGCATACCGAAGAGCACGCACCGAGCACCGGACATTTAAGTTGCAGGAGTCTCTTTATAGTTAACTCAGCTGTCTGGCTGGAAGGAGTTTTTAGAGAGACCAGGCTTCCAGGCAAGGGCTTTACAAGACTCACCTCGTATTTATTTACAAATCAACCTTCGTATCCCCAGGGAAGTTTCAGAGAGGTCGCCGGGTGAGTCTGTTTCAGCAAAAGTAACAAGGAGTCTGGCGGCACTTTAAAGACTAACAAATCTATGAGGGGATTAGGGTATTGTTTCTTTCGCGAGCTACAACCCACGTCCTCAGGTGCAGACGAGAAAAAAAAAGACAGAAAAGGGGGGGGGAGGAAGATGCATAGATGGGAGTGTGACCAACAGCGCTAATTAAATCAGAATGAATGAGGCTCATCTCCAACAGTGGTGCGAAGGGGTGAGCACCTGACTGGGAAGTGACCTGATGCAATGTGAGAACCACTCCAGGTGTGTGTTTAGACCTGGGTGCAGGGAGTCAGATTGGCGTATGAATTCCGGCTCGGCAGTTTCTCCCTGCAGCCTGGTTTTGGAGTTTTCCTGTCTGAGAACGGTGCCGTGCAAGTCCGAACCAGTGCGCCCAGGCAAGTTACAAGGCTCCTCCACTGGCCTTTGCCATTCTTAACAACTGATTTGTGTCCGTTGATTCTTTTATGGAGAGACAGGCCAGTTTGCCCTATGTCCATGGCAGAGGGGCATTGTTGCCACAGGGTGGCCTATATCACACTAGTAGATGTACACATGAACAAGCCTTTGGTGGCATAACTGTTGTGGTTAGTTCCTGTGACGGTGTCACTCGGGCAGTGTTGGCAATGGGGCTTGGGCAGGGATGGATTCTTGGGTTAGTGTTCTTGTTGTGCGGTATGAAGTAGGGGGTGAGCATTTGCCTCTGGTTGGGGGGCTGTGTAAGCGAGGACTGGCCTGCCTCCTGAGCTCGGTGAGAGTGAGAGACCATCCTCTAGGATAGCCAGTATCACTGGGGGCTGTAGGTAATGGCCGATGGCATTCTTTTGCTTTCTTCATTGGGTCTGTCCTGTAGCAGGTGACTTCTGGCCTGCAGCCTGCCTTTATCAATCTGTTTCTTTACTTCTCCGGGTGGGTATGGTTGTTTTAAAAAGGCCACCCATCCACCTTCTCCTCAGAGATTAATGTAGGCACTAAAAACAAACCAAAAATGTTTATGGGAATGGCTATTCCCTTTTCTCAGCCTTTAAATAGTTTCATCTCTCATTGGTGCACTGAACAAACTGACAGTGAACATTTTGTGGCATTAGTATGAAAGAATAGTCACTAAAATCCCTTCAGGATAACTGGTCATCTGAAGAAGTGGGCTGTGCCCACAAAAGCTCTTGGTACCATCTACATGTTTAGTTAGTCTATAAAGTGCTACCAGACCATTTGTTTGTTGTTTTTTTCTGTAGCAGACTAACTCGGCTACCCCCTGAAGTTCAGGAAGGGCGTGTGTCCATGGAAACCACTAACACTCACGTCCTAATCCAGAGAGGTAGACGGTCAGATGTTGATAGAACAGATCTGTCCAGCCCCATCAAACACTGACATCTGTTTCAGGTGAGTCAAGAGCAAGGGCCCAGACAAAGTGAGCAGTGGACTCCGTGGAGTGTGGAGTGCAGAAGGGCCCCGGCGGGGAAATGGGTTTTCTTTAGCCTGAGCCTTTTGGACCTAATCCAGGAAGCTGAATTCAGAGTTGGACGTGAAACCGTGTGCGAATTCTCTGAAGGGTATTGACCGAAGGCTGAGACTGCTGCTGCTGCCAGGGCAGGGAATAACACCCTAAGGAAACAGCTCTGCCAGGCAGGCTTTTTGGCAGCTGGGAATCCCGGAAGTAAATGAGGCCCAGGTGACTGCGAAGGGCTGGGTGAGACGGGGGAGTCTTTAGGCCAGATCACCTCAGAGCAGCTCGCTGAGTCGACAAGGCAGAGAGCGTGTTACTTACAGACCCTGGCATGAGAGGGGGCACTGACAGAGACACCTCAAGTGTGGTTGAATTCAGGGTGAGACACCAGCCTGAGGTGTCTCAGTCAGGGAATCGCAGTTTAATGTACAGCCGAGCTGTTGAATAGGTGAAATTACGTAAAAAGTTCCCGGTCCCTTTTAAACCCAGGCACTTGTTCGACCGGGCCTAACCGGAGGTGAAAGACCAGCCTGAGATCAAATGCTACCTCGGGGAGTATCGACAGTGTAATGGCTCGCCTTGTGGTCTGCGCAGGCGTCTCAGAGAAGTGGCATTTGGCCCTCAAGGCTCCAGGGCTACATCAGGAGGCCAGAACTAAACTGAAAGAACTCAGAGAGAAAGTTCATCAAGGCTGTGAGGAAGCTGGTCTTGTGATGGCAGGGAGCCAAGACGGGCTGGATGGATGAAAACCCCTTCGGCTCTGACCTCACAAGTGCCTCCATGCACGTGACACCCCTTAAAGCCACAGGGCCCCATGCGGGTGACACCCCAGCTCTGCAGAGCCACCTGCGGGACCAGAGCGTTAGTGGTGGCTTCGATCCACCCGGCAGCAGAAGAGGCTGCTTGTTCCTCCCTCCCTGTCGAGGTCCCTCCAGGGGAGCTAAATCGCTGGCTTATCTAATTTCATAAACAGAGGCTGATTAAATTAAACTCTAAACTAAAACACACATTGGTTTTAAATAAGGATTAAGATGCTCAGCGGGGTTTTATCATATGGCTGATAACCACTGGCGGAGGCAAACTGGGCTTGACAATAAAATAAAATAAAATTAGATACAATTAAAATAAACCTTGCTCTTGTTTCTGGAAGATTGGGGAGTGAGTGTGCGGGGAAGGGGAAAACCTTGTGTTTCCTGGGATGGCACATGGGGGTATCTACATTCAGGTTATGTCTACACTGGAGGGATAATTTCTAGCTTGACACTGGAAAGTACAGTAACAGCTGGAGTTTGGCGGCTTATGCAAAATGAGTGGATTGAGTTTCACCTCTGGTGTCCAACTTTCCACATCATCCCACACATGGGGAATGTTAAAAAATTAGAGAGCTATCCAAAGAACATGGCCCATAGTTAATGGATGAAAAGCGGGCTAACGGAGAAGTCTCCGAACGTACCTGTAAGTGGGGAATTGTCATTGAGCAGGAAAGTTTGTAGGAGGGTCCTGCATGGAGCAGTTCTTGGCTCTTTGCTGGTTAACATTGGTGACAATGAGCTGGAAGAAAACACAGAATCATTAGAGAGAAAGTTTGCTGACGAAACAAAAAAATGGGTGGGGGGGTGATAAAGTGGACAAGTCACTGAAACAAATGCTCTGACTTGCTTGGTAAGCTGGCTGCAGGCCATCTTGAAGCATGGCTCATGGATAAGGTGTCCATCTACAGTCAAGGAACATAGGCCATACTTGTAGAATGGGGGACTCTCCTGAGAAGCAGTGACACTGAAAAAGATTGATGCACTGTGGTGGATAATCAGCTGAACATGAAATCCCAGCACGATCATAAGAACGGTCAGACCAAAGGTCCAGCTAGCCCAGTGTCCTGTCTGCCGACAGCGGCCAATGCCAGATGCCCCAGAGGGAGTGAACAGAACAGGGAATCATCAAGTGATCCCTCTCCTGTCGCTCCTGACAAACAGAAGCTAGGGACACCATTTCTACCCATCCTGGCTAATAGCCACTGATGGACCTAACCTCCATGAATGTATAGAATCATAGGGTTGGAAGAGATCTCAGGAGGTCATCTAGTCCAAGTCCCTTCCCAAAGCAAAGGAAGCATCTAGTTCTTTTCTGAACCCTGTTAAAGTCCTGGTCTTCACAGCATCCTCTGGCAAGGAGTTCCACAGGTTGACCGTGCATTGCATAAAGAAATACTTATTTGTGTTTGTTTTAAACCTGCTACCTATTAATTTATTTTGGTGACCCCTAGTTCTTATGTTATGGGAACAAGTAAATAACTCTTCCTTATTCACTTTCTGCACACCGGTCATAATTGTATAGCCCTCTGGCATATTGTACCTTAGGCTCCTCTTTTCTAAGCTGAGAGAGTCTTTTTAATCTCTCTTTATATGAGGCCCATTCCAAACCCTTTTTGTTGTCATTTTTGTTGCCCTTTTCTGAACTTTTTCCAATGCTAAGATACCCTTTTTAGAGATGAGGCAACCACATCTGTATGCAGGATTCCAGATGTGGGTATACCATGGACCATGACACTGAACTAAAAGGGCTAATGCATTACGTGGGTGCATAAACAGGAGAATCTCTAGCAGAAGTACAGAAGTCATTTTACCCCTGTGTTTGGCATTGATGCAGCCACTGCTAGAATAATGTGTTCAGCTCTAGCATCCACCATTCAAGAAGGGCATTGATAAAGTGGAGAGGGTTCAGGGAAAAGCCACAGGAATGACTAAATGCTTAGAAACTGGGGCTTATAGTGATAGACTCAGGGATCTCAAGTCTATTGTTTAATTTAACAAAGAGAGGGTCAAGGGATGACTTGACTATATTCTATGAGCAGCTACATGACTAAAGGTTTGTTCATGCTTTCTTCAGTCTAGCAGAGAAAGAGCTAACATGATTCAACAACTGGAAGGTGAAACTAATTAAATTCAGACTGGAAGGAAGGTAAACATTTTTACTGGTAAGGTTTCAAAATCAATGAAGGGAAGCCCTTTCCATACATTTCGTGAGGGGGGAGAGGAGAGCCATCCCAGAAAAGCAAAGGTCAGGTACATTTCCAAGAAACATTTGGGTTTCAATGAAACAGTCGTTTGGACAAATAAATGTTTCATCCGTTTTTTTAACTAGATCTATTTTTAGACCAGATCCTTGCATGACCAAGGCTTTGAGATCCTGGCAGCACAAAGCAACACATAGATCAGGGGTGAGGAAATAATGTAGCATGGGCCAAATGCAGTCTGCCAGGGTTAGCTCCTGGCAGGCCCCTACCGCTCTATTTACCTGCCCGGCTGCAGATACGGGTGATCGCAGCTCCCATTGGCTGCAGATCTCTGTTCTCAGCCAATGGGAGCTGTGGGAAATGGTGTCTTGATCCATGCCACTCTCATTGGCCAGGAATGGTTATCTGTGGCCAATAGGAGCTGTGATCATCGGTACCCGTGGCCATGAAGGTAAATATAGCAGCGGTGGCCTACCAGGGATTAACCCTGGCAAACCGCCATCGTGTTACTGCCCTCCCCTGGCATGTGCATTAGTGGTAGCGTTCTGCATTATTTCCTTTGCCAGAGCCACCATTACTATGAGAAATCGAGTCTTTCATTCTTTCAATGGTCCTGGCTTTGCCGTTTGTTTTTCCCTTTGTCTAGCGGATCTCTGCAGTGGTTTTCGTAACTTATCATCTTCTTTCTTTCTTTCAATAGATTGCACGGTTTAACATTTTATTTCCCGGGGCTGGCGAAAGGGCTGCCTACTGTGCTGTTTTATTATTTGGAGAAAAAAAAGAAACCTGCGAGATGTTTCTATTGTCATATAAAAAACTGTTTTAATTTCTGTGTTGACGAGCAACATCTGTATGTTTCAAAATGTACAGTAGGAGATTTCAAGGAGAAGAGCAGCCCTGGGGCTTCTGTCTGCCTGTCTCACCCTTGGAGCAAACAAGCTGCTGTGCCTTGCAATCCTTTTAAGTGTCAGTCGTACTTGGGCTGTATACGGCTTGCTCCGGCTGACGCTGTAATTGAGCTGTACTGGATGGCTATGGGCCCCAGGTGCATTCTGTAACCATAAGCACAGACCTGGCTGTGTCACCGGACTGAAAATCGATGTGCTGGGCCGGAAGGAGATGGCCCAGCATGAGGTGGAGCTGAACGCCGGGCTGCCGCTGACGGACGAGAGAGAGATCTCATTTCACGCGGAGCAGGGCAGCTCCAGACCCAATCTCCCAGGCTCCCATTTGTACCAATGAGATGCTGGGCTGATTGGATTCCCCCCTGGAATCAGCAGAGTTATTTTTTCCTTATTTCACATGCATTTTTCTGGCTGGAACGGGGCGGTGCTGGAGAGCTGTGTTTGGTCCAAGAGCTCTGCAAGGTCACAGGCATCATGTCTGCAAGCTTCCCATGCTAGCGTCCACGACTGCTGCTTCCTGGCTTAGAAAGGGCCCTGCGTGGGAGAGATGGGGCAGAGTCCCTTGCTCTAGGGGTCCAGAGGCTTGGAGGTGGGGGACTTGGGGTCATAAAGGGGTAGCAAAAAGCAATGCACTTCCTTACGTCCTGCTGATGCACTCCAACAGGCTGCATGGGCCTTGTGCTGGGCCCACTTCTGCCTAGGCCCTGAGGCTACGTCTACACTACGTGGTTTTTTTCCGGCAAAAAATATGCTAATGAGGGACTCATTTACATGAGTTGCGCTCTCATTTGCATATATAGTTCCAATCCATTTTTGCGCTAGGGTTTTTGCACAAAAACAAACAGTGTGGACATTTTCTTTTTGCGCAAAAACCGCCTTTTCCATAAGATCCTTATGCCCCCAAGAAGGAGGTATACCGATCTTGAGGGAAAAGGTGGTTTTGCGCAAAAACAAAACATTCACACTGCTTGTTTTTGTGCAAAAGCCCTAGCGCAAAAACGGATTGGCAGAAAATATGAAAATGAGATTGTGACTTATGCAAACGAGTCCCTCGTTAGCGTATTTTTTGCTGAGGAAAATTTGTAGTGTAGACGTAGCCTGACTGTGTCCACAGATTGTGCCTCACCAACCTCCAACAGCCATCAGAGAGGGGGGGCTTGTAGGGCAGCAGTGTGGAGAGGCACGGCACACCCCCCTCATGCACCCTTCCCAGCCCACTTTGCCAGTGATTAGGGCCATCCAAAACTCACGGTCTATTTTGATCAATTTCACAGGCAAGCGATTTTACAGATCACAATGGTTAGAGAAGAACCGGGCGACCCAGGAGCAGAGGGGGCAAATAGACCTCTTGATTGCAGATACTGCTTCCTCTCGCACCCCTATCACAACGTTCCGAGTAAGAAGTGATTTGGCAGCCGTTACACTCCTGTATCCGATTTAGTATGTGAATTCACGTGTTGATCACTACTTCCCCTCAATCCTTATTCCGTAATATTAACTCCTATACAATTAATATTAATAGGCAGGTGAGGAATATTATTATCAGGGCTCAACAAACTATAGAGTCTACTCACCCATGGCGAGTACATTGCTACAATGGTGTATGTCCCTAGAGGCTTGCTTCTGGCTCATCAGAGTAGGGAAGGGGGGGAGAGAATGCCAAAAGCCTCACCACCCCTATACTTCACACGTACAGAGTTCTTCTGCAATGGACCCCTACATTCCACCCCTGGGTGGTGGGGCCCTGCACTCGTATTCACGGATGGGAGGTATACTGGCTGTCTGGTCACTCCAGGTAACAGGTGTAGTAGATACCACACATAAGCACCCCACATAATTAGTGAGTACCACGGTGGTCTGATTGAATATACAATCCATAACACACTCCCCCACTGTATTAATTTCTGTTCTACAAGGATCCAGAATGTGGTGTATAAAGGGACACATCCATTCATTCCGGGGCATTTAGGCAAGCATGCCTCTCTTTGGATGTCAGTTTCCAGCTCCCAATTAGCTCACAAGCTTGGATCCCAGGACGAGCCCCCATATTCTGATTGGGATGCATAGAAGTGGTAACGGCGTCTTCCCGATAAGTGATAGGTATGGTCCATAAGTGCTTGTCCAGGGGTATAAAGCAAAAACAAAACGAAGAAAGATACGCAGCAGCAATTGCTTATGATACGTCTTTGGTAAATTAGCAAGTTGGGCTCGTGAAAGGGGGGGCGCTATTTCTAGTTACTTAGCAACAATTTGTGGTTGGCCTTAAGAGGGCAGCTGGGTGTGCCTCTTTCCCAGGCAGACTGTGGGGCACCTTGCATGGCCATAAACTTGAGTGTATATTTGATTCAATTATGGCTTTCCATTTGGTGTTGTGCCGCCTAGCTTATCTGTGCTTTTCTGTGTCCTTCCTGTTTTCTTCAAGCTTCCTGATATCTGTTTTGACTTCAGCTAGACCTGCTAGGTCTTGTCTCTTTGCTCCAATTGAACAGCAGGTTTCTGGGGGGACAGCATAGCTACAGATCATAATTTAAGGTTTTACCTATATATCAAAGGGCTACTGGCTACAGTGGGTTAAAAACCTGTTCCTACATTTAGTATCTGCCAATGCTGGGGTTCTTATAGCATCAGATGCT